CGCCATACCAGGCCAACCGTAAGTACAACCAAGAACGCCGCAAAGCCCAGAGGCGTCAAGACTGGGTTGATCGATAACATGTACATTAGGTAGTAGTATTTCCCCGTGCGCTGCTTCCGACGACGCTTCAAGCAGACGACAAGAGCAGTTAAATGCTAGATCATCGTGAGATGGACGTTGAAAATGCCGAATGACACCATTGGCGACTATCTACACCTTAGCGTAGGATCGCGTGTATAGGTTTGCAGAGAAATGTGGGTCAAGAAATGGCCGCTGTACTTGCCATGCTGGGTATAGCTCGAACTGCAAGGCATCGCCACGCTAAACCCCGGTCCCATATCTCGTGGCGGAAACGAGGCCTGGTAACCTTCCATGTTGAGATGTTCCGTGATTCCAGCGTTATCATTCATATCGGAGATAGAAGCTTGTTTGTTTGTGTCAGATATGTAGTGCGGGGACGCTCCACTTCCGTTCGTCAAGGAGAGCAATTCAACCATAGCGAGCTTGCCTATACCAGAGCGAGGCAAATACCGGGCAATTTTGAGTTATTGGCCTCTCGATTGAACATTCTTGTCGTAGTCTGGGGCTTGACTCCAGTGCGATGACGCGGAGCTGTGTTGCGAACATACATTACGGGACCCAACAGCGGAAATACGCCCCATACGATGCATAGGCCTATAAGTCGCGATCATCCCCAAGACTGTGTTATAAGCTTCTTCGCCCGACTCCTTCTTGACTAGAACACTTGTCACCGACTTCTTCTTCATTTAGCTTCAAACGCAGCTCACTATCGACGTTGAGATCTTCACTATGGCAACGTTCGGAAACTACGCTGGAACCGAATCCAAGTCGAAAGCTTTCCATTACTCGCAAGCTGTCAAAGTAGGAAACGTCGTCCGTATTTCCGGCCAGGGTGGTTGGGATGCGGAAGGGAACGTAGCACCGACCGCCGCAAAGCAAGTGGAGCTAGCGCTTGAGAACATTGAGAAGGCGCTACAATCTGTCGAAAAGGGCGTGTCCTGGAAGAACGTATACGCTATTCGATCGTACCACACAAATATCGACGAGTCTGCGGACCTATGTATCGAAGGCTGGCGACGCGTCATGCCTGATCACCGACCGGTATGGACATGTGTCGAGATTACCAGACTTGGTATCGAGGGCATGCAAGTCGAAATCGAGGTGGAGGCTCTCGTTGAGTAGGAGTGAGGGAGGCGGTACTCAGACATTGGTAACATGCTGGGATACGGGCACCAAGGGTGGCTACAATTCCTGTCGCATTTGCTGCATACACACTCTTCAATCTTAACAACTAGATAGTCCTCAGAGTCATGTATACATCTAGTCTGGAATCTCTGTATAATGCGACATGAATTATGGCCGCCCCTGGTGAAAACACTAGACAGTTGAGCAAGTGGCTGGTGGTCGTAGGGCTTGGAGGCGTTTTGACGGAACTATCGCAATCTTCTGTTATGGCAAAAACCGATGAATTCTCTCATATAACCAATGTACACATGGCAGTGTTCTTGAAACTTCCGCTCCACGTAGTAGGACTACGAGAAGGTTGCCAGAGTGCCTCCAAAGTTGCCCGAATAGACAACACGGACTCGAACCGCAGATTGTTGTGTATGTTCCCCAAAATCTTCATCACACATTCCCGATGGGCTTCCAAGAGTGAATGTGCGCCAGCTACATAGAGTGGGAAAAGAGCACAGTTCTGCGCTTTAGATCTCGTATCCATGCCTTGTATACACTCTAGACACGCATGGACATGCTGTTGAAGAAGAAAGTGTTTCGTGGAAATGTCGTGAATAGCGCTGTAAAGGTATATGAGGCCTGCGTGCTGGAAACAACGGACAAGTGAGAGCGATGCCGTTGTAACAGGGCTTAGCAGGTCTTGTCCTGCGTCTCCATCTGGACACTCTAGCTTGGAGTACGTTGGCTGAAGCGCGTGCTCAAAGGCCTGCGCCTTCTCGACGCAAACTTCGGCTCCAGTTTGTAGCTCGTGGCGGTAGAAGCTCATCTCAGCCAATGTGGATAGAACAGACCCAAGTGATGTAGTGCCAGGGACGACTTCCCACCACACTGATCCTGACTCCATTGTCTCCCAAATGCAGGCTGGGAACGAAGGTTTTCTGTCTTGAAGCAAGGCGTCTGTCAGATCAGTGGATGCTAGTTCCGAGAGTAGCATTCTAGTCATTCTGTCTGACGATGACCATGCTGCTCGAAAGCCGCCCATTGCGTTGATGATTGCGATCGCTCCTGCAAGGTGACAACCGGTCGAAGCGTCATCTGACATGCAGTTGACATAGCCTTCCAGGAAGTACAAAAGCAGCACCGCAACTAAAAGTGCGGAGAGCGCAGCACCATCGGATTGCTCGCTGCTCAGTTGGCCGCGGATAACTGACAAGCAATGCAAGCGTCTCCTCTCAAGAGTCTGTTTGGACGATCCGCGCTCTTGCAGCGCCCGATGCTCCTCGGCAAATACGCATAGGGCCTGGAGGACAGGTTGAGAGCGCAGGGCAAGTGCGACTGGTGGCGGAACTGGCTCATGAAGAGTGGAGAAAAGTGGCCATAATCGCGCTTTGAAGTATTCCAGTGCTCTTCGCTCATTGAATGCCAGGTGAATGCTATTGAGCGAACGCTCGATGGATAGCTGTGGGAGGCATTCGGGCACCGTTTTAGCAGGTCGCTTCTTCCATCTGAGTAGTAACTTGTCGTAGCTGCAGTCTTCCGCGTTTGCGGAAAGGAGGCATCGTCGACATGTGGGCTTCTGGAGGTCGCATTTGACTCGTCTTTGCTTGCAAGGCCAGCACGACCCTTCAACCGTCCGTCGACGTTTTGGCGGACTGTTGCCAGAGGATTCCGGACGCGACATCTGTCTGCATGACGTGATAATGGTCGCGAGCTCAGAGTAAGAGTGACGAGGTTGCGAAAGGGGAGTGCCAGCCGATATCAGATGGCTGATGCGAATGCCCGACTGATGCGAATCTGCCCTCAGTATTGATGCATGAAGGGACAAAGATCGAAAAGGGCGAGACGCGTCGAGGCCTCCGCTGATCGGGGGCTCCGATTGCCGCACGCCAAGACCATTATTCCCGCTAGAGCCGTGGCCTCGCCGCTCCACCAAAGCATCTCTCTCTCCAGCAATGCGATAACGATGTCTGATGGAATATTTGTCACTGTTGAGCGTTATGGCGGTAAGGGGTCAGGGACGTTTATGCTAACACTTGGAGCGAACAAACAATCAAGCACCGTGTCAAGGCTCATGCTTTTGTGGGCCGAAGAAGCCCTGGAGGCGACAGGAACGGTACATGAAGCTCAACAACCTTTGAACCCTAGACTTCAACTTCTTCAACCCTTTGCTGGGCTGTTCTGCCATCGAATCTCATGGGCGCCTGACCTCCGAGCGTCGGATCATCCAACACTTTGGTTCCGAACGATGTCAGGCTGCACTGAACGTCAATAGCTTTGCTTGTTACCGTGCAACACGTTGGTACGGTAATGGTACCTGCATTAAAGCGGAACCGCGCAAGGTCAGCAGAAGTACCTGCAAGACCCTCGCTCTTTACACCTTCTGTATGCGCGTCGATGCGCATTCTGAACACTACTCTCAACATTGACGTCCTGAAAAGCAATGGACACCGACACAGGGTGGCAGATGCTGGGTTTACTACCATGAACAAGCCCTTTGTTGAATTAGCAGAACTCGAGGGTAATCCAGTTGCATGAGGAAGAGTTCAGTTACTGCCAAATACCTACAGGGCTGAGCATTTCAAAGGTCATGTGCTCGTGGTGGCTCCGGCTCTCCACAGCAGCGGCTGCACGATTACACTAGTGTTGTCGATCACTTGGCTCAGCTCTTCTACAAGCGGTCGATGGACCGGAGGCTGACCGGATTGCCTCAATCACTAACATCACCGTTCGCTAGCGGAAAGCGTCAGTGGCTCTTGTATCGCTATCTTGTGGCAATACCCGAAGGCAGCTCGAAATCGCATTGCGCGCCATGCCACGACACCTGGGCATGCAAGCGAATCCCAGCTGATGGTACTAGCTTGTGTAGCTGAAGAACAAATACACCGCTTAGTCGTTGCACGAGTTCCCGTATGTGGGACCGCAAGGCAAGTGGCGTATTCTTCTTCGCGGATGATGGGCTCAGGTCCCGGATCACCATGCGGAGAGTATTGAGTTTTGACATGCCAAGCGAACACGCGAGATCTGGACAAGCCACCATGCATCTTCACGAGAGAACACGAGGCTATCGTGGCTTCGTAGAATTCTGGACAACGGATACCGACGCTAGCGGCACCGGAGAATCGCAAAGCGGTATGCTGCTTTTCGGCAGAGTGCTCTTCCGCACTCACGTATTGGTGGCATTCACGCAGGATGCTGTGACTGTACTGTCGATATTCCGCTCTAAGCTGTACTTGCTTGTCGAATGGCGAGTGTTTCGACTCACACTCTTTGAATCAGGCACATGTCTGTAACAGCTAGACCGTTCGCAAATGCGCCCCTTCGCAAGCTTGGCACCTTTTTTCTAGGCGGGGACTGCTAGACTGCGCTGACTTCCTACACTGACGGGATCTACCTGTCTCAAAGGGTCATTAGTCTAGGCTCGGCCCTGCATATCGCTGTCATGACCATCACTTGGTAGTTGTTTGGCTAGCTTCCCTCAACCGTATCGCCTTAAAGCGGCTGGCTTAACCCAGGGCTACAGGGATAGATTACTATTTCGGGGACCGAGCTGTATCCCTCTACTCAATGTGGCTTGCTGTGGTCTCAACTGAACGGCGTCTTGGTTCCATGCGGGACTGTGATCGGCGAGAATGGAAGGCCTGGGACTTGGTAAACCGTTGCTGTTAGGAGACAGTCGGGGAATATAAGGATGTTCCAAACATCTTGTCTTTTTGTTCCTCATCAGCTCACAGTTGCTCCTCTTACACTGTCTTATAATTTATTGTTCATAATCTTCTCGGTCGTTACTTACCTCAGCTGCCATGATGGTCCCTACTAAATCACTGGCGTTGCCACTCATCGCTCTATGCTCGATAGCATCATCAACTCCATTGGAACCGCGTCATGCCGCACCCGGCCTTATTGATGGGATTCTCAATGGTGTTCTCTCAGGCATCGAACAACTCATTGCGGACGTTCTGTCTGGTAAAAAGTCACCCATCGACAACACCAAGACCAACAAGCCGTTGACCTGCTCATTGTTGAGTGTTGACAAATGTTGCGTTTGTGAGTTACGACAATCCTCCTTAATCGTCTATGGCCTAACAGATATAGGGTACGATGTCTCTGCCGAGCTTACCAAGCTATTTGTTGGGGCCGATAAACAATGCAACGACAATGCTCGTGCTGCAGTCCGTATGGGCTTCCACGATGCTGGGTCTTGGGATAAGAATGCTCTCAACGGTGGTGCCGATGGATCGCTACTCATGGAGTTCGGCGAGCATGAAAGACCCGAAAACAACGGTCTTCAGAGCATTCGCCTAAAACTTCGAGATGTACAATCCAAGTACAAGGTCGGATACGCTGATCTCGTCCAATATGCGCACAATCACGCAACAATCTCGTGTCCGAAGGGGCCCCGCGTACTTACATTCGTTGGCCGCAAGGATGCGACCAAGGCCGCGCCCAAAGGACTTCTACCTGACGTTCATCAAGACGCCGACAAACTGATCGCCATCTTCAAGGACAAGGGTTTCTCGCCCCACGATCTCGCAGCACTCGTAGGCGCCCACGCAACAGCCAAGCAACGATTCGTGGACGTCCGCCCAGAGGTCGTCGACAAGCCACTCGATACGACCCCCGGTGTCTGGGACGTCGAATTCTACAACGATACTCTTAACAATCCCTCCGGTGGCAGTGCTGATCAGAAGGTCTTCGTCCTCCCAAGCGACAAGGTGCTATCGACACATCCCAAGATCGCCGATGAGTGGAAGTCGTTTGTTGGTAACCAGGTCCATTGGAACCTGGACTATGCGAAGGCTTACATCAGGATGAGTCTTCTGGGTGTAGAGAAGAGAGATCTGATGAAGTTGGTGGACTGCACGAGGACACTGCCCGTTAGTAGGCCCTCATTTCCTTAGTGTACATGATTTACAATACCCTTACGCGCATCGCGATTTAATTCAATAATTACTATAACGAGATGTCTCCGCGTCATATGCATGTTTGGCACGTGCGAGTGTATTTGACGTATCGACCAGGTAAGAGCTCGGAAGCCCTGGATGGCCCCTTCAGGGACCGCATCTGGAGAGGGTCGCTGAAGACGGAGTTGGATAGCGGCAATAATCGTGACTCAGAACCATCGAAAGTGGAGAACTTAGACGAAGCAACTGGTGCAACCCTTTTCAGTTATCACACTTGGCAAAAACTTTGTTGTGTCGAGATGCGATGAATGAATCGCGGTGCATGGTCTACCAGATAAAGCCAGGCGGGGTGGCTGACATAAGCGTGAGGCAGGCAAGGGTCCAGGTCAGGCGAGTCGAGCTTGCTTGTTTGTAGTGCGGAGAGCAGGTAGCTCACAAACGTCACGGCCGGCACACGAGCGTCACCACCACCACGCTCCACCCACACGCTCACAATCTGCGACCAGATTCCGAGACACGATACGAGCGACGTAAAAGATAGCAAAGGACACAATGGCAACTCAATTCTTGAGGGCGGCGGCTCGCGCCGGCGTTCGAGCGCCCATGGCTGCTTCCCGCGGATTCCAGACAAGCGCTGTACTGAGGCAGGACACTGTTGTTGCGCCAGTGAAGAAGCCCGTTGGTGCTTTCAGGGGAGGGTGAGTGCTCATTTCGCAATTGCATTCTATTGAACTGGTTTGGACGGCTATACAGCCACGGAAGACTGTCACATGCCATCAGGCAGGCACGACGGCGAACGTCATCTACTAGAATGGCAAACAAGGCTGAAATTTTATGGCTAACACACGACAGATTGTTCGGCTTCCTTCTCGGTGCTACCGCATCCGGCGCAGGCATGTACTACTATGTCATTGACGAATACCGCGTATCGAACCAGCTCTTAACCGAGGACATCTACGTACGTCATTCCTACCTGCGTCCCTTGCGCATAAGCTCGATCGCAAGAACAATACATCGGGACTGTACAAGTGAAGCAGGCCTTGACTAACGAAACCAGGCTCTCCAATCCGCCGTCCAACGGATAGAAGGCTACGTTCGCACCCTCGAGGACAAAGTCGATGCGAAGAAGCGATAAATCACCCATGACACACCTATCAAGCGACGATTACGCGGCCGAACGTGCGGAGCGCGCCGAATGGGGATATGCACGGGCTGAGCAGGCAGTACAAAACGATGGACCAGTGGGATGGAACACGCATGTACACTACGAGATTGGACTCTTCTCCGTCATTACGAAAGCTGATACTCATCGAGTAACTACCTTATACCAAATATATTTTAGGCTGTTCATGGTGGTATTTTGGGACCTGATGATGATATTGTGACAGGCGCCCTTCACCTAAACTTGACATGCGGACTTGAATCGTGGCCTCTCTGAAACTCTGTCTAACTACGAGATAATTGCTTCACCGTTTAGGAAGGTCGTATTTGCAATTAATTGAATGCGTAACTACACGCGCTTTCGTGTGCATTTTAGTCTATTATTTAACACATCATTATGTGAGATCTATCCACGAAACCAAAATTAACGCCGTTCATGCCATTTACCATCAGATGCCCCCACTTGTCCTATCCGACTCAAATCGTCGCTTCACAACAGCGTAAGCGGCGCGATCCACTCGCACTTCGGTGGTGCGACGGGTATGTCTTCGTCATCGTTGAATCGCCCGAGCTGAGCAACACGTTTGTAGATCTCCTCTAGAATCCTACCCTGCTCGCCCTCATACTCTTCTGGTTTGCCCTCCTTGTAACGGTCCTTGGGATCGATGGGCTTGCCATCTGGTGTAACACCTTCAACATGGGGGCGCGGTGCTGAGCTAGTCTGTGCTATTGAAGCCGGCTGAGAGGTAGCCTGGACGGGGGCGGGAGGGTTACCAGGCTGGCTCTGTGTCTGGGTGGTGAACGGAGAAGGTGAAGGCGTGGAGTCTGCTGGCGCGGCAGATGTTTGAGGCTTGAGGAAGGGGTTGGCAGCTGCCGGCTGCGTTGCGTTGTTTTGAGGCTGTTGGGTGCCGAAAGGTGACGGTTTGCTTGGTTGACCGAAGGCCGGAGCTTGAGACGCTGCGGCGCCACCGAAAGGGTTTGCCTGTGCAGGTGCAGGTACAGGTGCTTGTGTAGACGGCTGCTGAGGCTGACCGAACGGATTCGGCTTCTGCGTCTGTTGAGCTTGCTGGCTAAACGGTGAAGGTTGAGCTGGTTGCTGGGCTGCTTGACTGAATGGTGAAGACTGGCTTGGTTGCTGTGCTTTGTGGCCGAAGGGAGATGGACCTGACGAGGCTTGCTGACTAAATGGTGACGCGCCAGACGAAGCTTGCTGGCTGAAAGGAGAAGCATTGGCACCTGGTTGAGCCGCCTGTCCAAATCCACTCTGTCCAAAACCTGGTTTACTGAATGGGCTTGGCTTTTGTCCAAGAGCGTTTGCTTGGCCGAAACCCGACGCCGCACCTGGTGCTGATGGCTGGCCGAAAGCAGATCCAGAGCTTTGGCCCATACTGCTGGCCTGTCCGAATGCGCTTCCTGCACCAGGAGCTGATGGCTGGCCGAAAGCAGATCCAGAACCTTGACCCATACTGCTGGCCTGTCCGAATGCACTTCCTGCGCCCGGCATGGACGGTTGGCCGAATCCTGAGGCACCAAAAGCAGGCTTCCCAAACGCACTCCCACCACCACCCAATGCTGACGGTTGGCCGAAGGGGGATGGTTTCTGGCCTAAAGCAGAAGCTGCACCAAAGGGCGACGTCTGGCCTGGAGTTGATGCTTGTCCGCCACCCAACGCTGAAGATTGGCCAAAAGGTGATGGTTTCTGACCTAAACCAGAGGCTGCACCGAAGGCCGATGCTGTCTGACCTGGATTTGAAGGTTGACCGAACGCGGACGCTGTCTGTGCTGGTTGACCGAAGGCCGGTTTGCCGAATCCTGGTGTAGAAGCCTGCCCGAACGCGGATGGTTGAGATGAAGCTGCAGCAGTCTGGAACGGATTCGCTGGTGCTTTCATGAAAGGATTCGCAGCATTATTAGAGGACCCAGTCGGGTTGCTTGCTGATCCGCTTGCTGCAGTGCCCTTGGCGATGTCGATGCGGTTGGGATGAACGTTGGCACCCTCTGCGACATAGTTGATAGCACCTGTGATATCATCCAAAATCGCTTTTACTTGCTGCTGCATCTTCTCGCTCAGTGCTCCCTCTTCTTGTTGCTACAGACCGTTAGTTATCAAGAACCCAGCGCTGAACTTCAGACTTACCGCTGTAGGCTCATTGCCCGCCGCTCGTAATGTGTAGTACCGGGATCGAAGCTCCTCTGGACTGATCTCGACAGGCCCCTCGATGAGCTGCCGTGGAGCATCTTTTCCTGGACCGTAGCATGAAAGCGGATAGATCGGGCGCTCTTTGGCGAGATCGATCTGAATAGCGTCCTTGTCTAAGCTGAAGGTCGATGATTTTTGATCACGGTTTCCACCAAATGAGTTAGTCCCGCTGTTATCACTTGGGCGATAGCGGTCGCCGTTGAAAGCACCGAAGCGGTTGGAACTTCCGCCGAAGCCGCCTCCACCTCCGCCTCCGCCTCGAGCTGCATCTCGCGAACTTCCAGGGTGCTCGAATTTGCAGGAATCTGCTTCGCGTAAGACAGTTGTCTATAAAGGATAGCGGATGAGCTTACCACCAAATTTACATGCATTCCGCTGGTAGAAGCCACAGACAGTCATGTCGCCTTGTTTGTCGTGATAGTCTCCTTGTCTAGGGTCAAAGTTTGGGTTTCGTAGTTGACTGGGTAATATTAGCAACGGTGAGATTTTACTTGTGTTGTCAAGTTGTGGAGGTCAATGAAAGAGGCAGTCGCGGCCGGAGTGAACGAAAACTGCGAAGGTTCCAAGGTTCAGGCGGACGGACGCGACGCGCTAGTAATCAACGCGAACAAAGCACGTCAACTAAGAAAAAGACTGAACAGGCCTGCAGCCTACATCGACGTGAAAACCTACAAGATAGGTAACCTAGCGTCGATGTAGGCTCTAGACCTGTTCAGCTTTTTTCTTGCATAAGGTGAAAGCGCCAAATTTTGCCCAGGTCGTTGCGATTCACACAGCAGTGAAACGCCGTTAAAATCCATTACTTGTAGTTACCTCTGCCCATCGCAATGCACTCTCGGTGTTCCCGGCCCTCTGCCCGTCTCTGCCCATATCGACCGATGCATGTGGCACTGGGAATGCTCGTCGCCAAATCGCGCTAAGCAATCAGCGTAGACAGTATCGAAGTAGAGTAGAAAGAGTTGACGAGACGAAATTAAGCACCTACCGTAGCACGGTAGCTGGTGTGTTATAGCTGCTTGTCGAAAAGGGTGAATCTCCTTGTGCGTCTGGGTGTTGATGCTTGCCTCTGTGATGGTGTTCACCGTTGTCGAGGACAGAGCGATGAACGCTAGGCCATTTCGGGTTTAGCGTCACATTTCGATCAGTCCGGTCGGACCTTCCACGTACGCGATCATCGTCTGTCTACGCCTCGCGCATTAATGCATCCAGCGCCATGTACTCCCAAGCGCACTACTTCATACCAGTGTCAACTCACAGAGTGAAAGCCAGGACGCATCGCAGACACTTGCGCCTTCCTGAATGCTAGTCTAGTGTTCGCGCAGTCCCCCTTCGACCATTCCGAATACAACTTGGCATGACGGCGTAGATGCACGCTTTCTCTATTCTTACTATCGGAATCTTCGTCGCAGGGTACTCGACCGCCCGTTGGGATCTTGTGACGCGCGTCTACGAACTAGGTATCTTTGCCTGGGATCACGGCGTTGTGACACGGACTGCTAAGGGTTTCTGTCTGCTGTCCCTACTGTTCTTCCTCTTCATACTACCGGTTGCGCGCATCGCGACACAAGAGACAGACCTGGTCAGTATGAGCCTTGATCGCACTTCCGGGTCCCTACTAACAGCATCAAACAGCATCCCCGACTCGCAGGCACCGGCATCTCTGCGCGCGAGCAGCTCAAACGTCGCGGTTCCTTCTAGTCTAGCGGGGTAGCAGGATGATGACATGGTCACACACAATGGGTTGATGCGCGTATTCTGGCCGTCAGACGCTCCAAAGGATTCTGTGCCGGGTGTTCTGGTGGGGTTCAGAAACTCGGAGTCAGATGTCTTTGTGGTAGCTGTGCTTCAAGAAGTCGAGTTGCGTCAAGTCGAGAACGCGCTGCTTGTCGGAACCTTGCTGCGACACAGCCCACACGATGTCCAGGAACTACTTCAACGATGCGGACACTCTTCTATGCGCGCCTTGGGCTACGTCAACCCCAAGAGCCCAGTCGAACAGCCTGATACCGACCTCATCGTAGTTCATACCGACCCCTCGTTCCGCTTTCCGCGCCTTCATTATCCTCACGAACCGCTCGTGGCTATGCAAGTCATCGTATACGACCGACCGCACCCAACGCGTATGCAATACCTCTCGCTCAAGCCTATCACGCTCGCATTAGGAGACAAAACAAGGGTCGCGGAATGGGATGTAGCTTTCGAGGAGCTGGAGAAAGCAGAAGAGAAGGAGCGCAGAAGGAAGGCACATCTCGTTGAGAAGCTCAAGCTGCACACGGTCATTGCACACCCGCGCACTCAAAAGGAGCTGGCGTTGCCGATGCTCATCGAGCAGGTGAACTGTTCGCACGAATTGAACGCCCTATTGCAGAAGAACATCGGCATGATAGGCAAGCGCATGAAGCGAGCCTTGAGTGTCAGTGAGCGGGTCGTCGAGTCTGCAAACGATCTCTGGGACTACATATGGCTTGTCCTCCATTATGCGTTCAGAGTCTGGATATGGCCGGTAGCCGCGCAACTCTTCATTTTCGGGCTGATTACACATCGCATAATGGGAGAGGCAGTCCTTCAGCTTCTACATTGGCGGCCAGGTTCTTCCGACTCGCCAGCTCTGAAGGATATCTCCGCAACAGCGCAACAGATCGACATACGATTACAACAGTCTTGTTACTGGCCCATTCAGTATCTCACTTTACGAAGGCGGAAAGTCAACTGGGAATCCATCACTAACAGTCATCCTGAGTATATCCGGTTCTACAATAGTCTGTGGCTAGTTGCCAACGATGTCATAATGGGCATTGCTGTCGGAACGTTCATCATCGAGAACGCTTCGTTCGTGGCTGCTCAGGTCGATACCATATTCAGTACCTGGTCGGTCGACGGTCTGCGGCGCATGATATCATGGCTTATGGGATGGCCCGGAGGCTTGAAGTTGAACACTGAACTGGCTGCGTTCCTGGGCGACCTTTTTCTTTGGGTCATTGATTACTGGGCGGGATGCATATCACTTCTGCGGCCACACCTACCTGCGCTGATCCAGATCATTGGCTTTTCCGCTTTCGCTGGCGCCACTATGCCCATCTCAATCTTCTCGGACCTCGTTTCGCTGCTGACGCTGCACATCTACTCGTTTTACGTCGCGTCTGCTCGCATCTTTCATTGGCAGCTTACGATAATCATATCCCTCTTCCACCTTTTCCGTGGAAAGAAGCGCAACATCCTCCGCAACCGAATCGACTCATGCGACTACGACTTGGACCAGCTATTGCTCGGCACAATTCTTTTCACACTGCAGTTCTTCTTACTGCCAACTGTGTTCGTCTTCTACTTGACGTTTGCGAGCGCACGCATTGCTGTCATCGGACTGAAAGCTGCGCTGGAGATGGGGCTTGCCTGTCTCAATCACTTCCCGCTCTTTGCAGTCATGCTACGACTGAAGGATCCTGGAAGACTACCTGGAGGAATCTGTTTCGAGCTACAAGACACGACCGATCTTACCTCTAGCACGACAAGCGAGACAGGCTCACCGCCGACGGCCTATGTGTTGCTGAAGGTAAGTCGAACTGCTCTATCCTGTGATATACGAGAACTCATACTACGCAGTCGATCCCGCTGTCACTACGTGCGATGTTCCAACCCTATTTCGACCTTGGCGATCGCATACGCAAGCACTACTTCTCGCCTAGCGTCTTATTGTATCTCGTGTCAGGGCAGTTTGTCCCACCGATTCACCGCCGCAACTTATACAGCTTGCAATATAGCATGCTCCCCGCCAACAGAGCAAGTATAGGCGAGCTGTGGAAGAAGCTGACAGAAAGGAGTGCCACGCCATCACACGGGCCTAACGGGTACGCTGCGATGCCATTCAGGAAGGACATACTTAACGGTAAAAGTAGAAAAGTCACATGAAACTTCAAGTCATCTGTATCTGTCTTATGTCTCTATTTCCTCATGCCTCTGCGTGTCTTCTGCATTCCTCTGTTATGTCTTAGTTGCGGCCGCGTGTTGTTGTTCTACGAGAGACATACGTCACCCGCTCTCACATGCCATTTTCACCTTCACCTCCTAACCCAAATCGAAAAAAAAGAGGGCAAAAAAGAATCAACTCAACCCCCACCCAGCATCTGCTGACCGACGCCCACTCCGAATCGAACGGCGCGCCCTCCTGAGTTCAGCCCTTTGTGTGACAAATCCTTCTCTTATGTGTTTTTTCCCATTACCAGAGTCACTTTTGGTTTTGATGGACATATTGTCTGTTTTTTCTCTAGGTTTTTCTAATCCGTGCAATGCACTCTATGTAACCGTCAGGAGCCCACCCGAGTCCGCCAAGTGGAGGGGAGTTGATGGTAGATAGGGTAATGTTGGGGTTTATATCTTCAGGTAAAGGTGGGTCCTGTAGGTGCTGATAATGGGTGGGCTCAGGTGGGAGGGCTTGCATGCAGGGTGGCGGGGCTAGGCAGACGGCGGGCTGGGTAGAGGGCGAGGTGAAGGTGAGTCTTAGAGCCGGTCTGGTGTGCACGAAGAGGTTGCGCCTGTATTTGAACTGTTTGGGGTTCTGCTAACATCAAGATGCTGGTTGAGGAGTGTAGTCGGGTCTCAAATGGTGATGACAACATGGCAAAAGTACACGCAAGCGCACATGAGCGGTCAGGAAGAGGTCCGACATAGTGAGGTTGGTTAGGTAAAGTTTCCATTTGCCAAGGTGCGCCCAGGTAAGTGGTCTTTCCGTCTGAGGCAGGTACCATGATGACAAGATAGGTGGCTACATGTTCAGGAAGTCGCGACTAGACTCATAGCACGTGCTTGTCCTTTGCCCAATAGGTATCAGCATCTAATACTACACCATGCTAACATTCTTTATTTCCGCCTTGCCTTACGATCTAGCGGCATCAGAAGAAATTCATTTTCTCGACCGCTTCCGTTGCCATCATTGCGGGGCCTCTCACTTCATCCTCTAAGCCGCTACACCAGTCACAGCACTAGTCCTGCAATCCGGCCTTCACCTTAATTGCGGCTTGCCACAGACGTGCACCTGCCTACAGCCAAGTTGCGGACCAACATCTCGTATAGCTGCAATTGTTCGGCAGTCCCTTCCTCACCTCTCCTCACACCACCCTCCGCAATTTCAAGGCCACCGAGGCTATTGTGCTCACGATGGAGTCAAACACAGTTGCACAAGCTGCGAAGGCCAGCACCATGAGGTAAGACATCCTTCGCGACCGCCGCCCGCGGGATCTGACTTGTACAATCTAGTTTCGACCCGTCTTCCTTCTTGACTGTGCGCGTCGGTCCTGAAGGTTCCCAACAAGACTTCTTGCTCCATGAAGGCATTATATGCAAACGGTCCAAGTTCTTTCGCCGCGCGATGAACGGCAACTGGTCTGAGAAGAAGGCTCGACTTGTTAAGCTACCTGAAGATGACCCCAAGATCTTTGCCCTCTACGTCAATCTCATCTATATGGGCGTGTTGTACAATGAACCAGATGCTTCCAAGATGACGCCTGTCGAGTTCCAAGCACATACCCTGTCGACCATCAAGTTCTACATCCTCGCCGAGAAGCTGCAAGACAAGCAAGCTAAGAATGCCGCTCTGGAAACTCTCCACACAGAAGTTACAACAGATTTGTCCACCGACAGACTACCCAACGCCGAGATCGTCGAGTTGATGTATAAGAACACATTGGAAGGTAGTCGTGGACGGCGCCTCATGGTCGACATCTGGACCTGCATCAGCACGAAGAGCATTCTTGAGAAGAGTGAAGGCCTCTGCAGGGACTTTCTCATCGATCTCGCCTACTCACTTCATAGTGAGCGTCCAGTGCGCAATGGCAATCTAGCATGTAGAAAGGGTTATACTGCATATCAAGAGAAGCTTTGAGTAGCCATGTACCGGCTTGCACAGTACGGCCGTGGTATTTGCGGTCTACGGAAGGAATGTCATGTTTGGTAAATCTCCGATGAGAGCTTTGGGACAGTGACGTGAAAGCAACCAGATACGGTGCATGTGCATCTAGTCCAAAAGTATGGCAGACATACAAAGTTTGCAAGTCAAGACGTTCTCTTTTCACTGATTCAATACGTCCCAAACCTGAAAATTGTACGAAAACTTAGTCGCATTGTCATGTGTTCGTCTTTCAACTTGGTCCGTTTATTTTCTTATCCAAAAGCAGATTAAAGACTCCAATTCTGCGCCTCTTTTCCGGCAGTGTACCATGGTGTCCACATTGATTTATATACTCATCCGCTATTATATTTCAAGCTAATGTATATGTCTAGCATCACTTTTAGTGTTGTCAACTCAAGTTTTGCTAGTCCGCATCTTGAGTTTTCCACTGATTCTACGCTTCCCAATGGTTAGTCGGAGGCGGTCGCTCACCGCGCTCAGACACCGATGATGTCACTCGAATTCACCAGTCACCGCGCCAGATTTGGACAAACGAACTTGCCGTTTCGAGTTCTTTCTTTCGCTTACACCCAGTTCAAAAGTCTCTCCTTCCGCAAACCCTTCGCCACCTTCCGCTTCCCCGAAACCAATCAGGCAACTCTGCCATCATCGTAGCGGCCATGGCTACTCCAGAAGCCACTCGAGGAGACGCGAAGAAAGCGATGAGGCCAGTAATCATGGGCAAGAACATCAGTATCAGAGACTAACCATTGCAGCTTCGACCCATCCAAGCTCGTCACAATCGTCGTGGGCAGAGAGCCACACCAGCAGCGCTTCTCCATACCTGAAGGAATCATCTGCGCACGTTCTGAGTTCTTTAAACGTGCTCTAAACGGAAACTGGGCGGAGAGCGAAGGACGCATTGTCAGATTCCCAGAGGACAATCCGGAGATCTTCGGCATCTACATGAATCTAGTGTACACCGGTCTTGTTCTCACGGACACTCTTGAAAGTCCAAAGACCGTTACTACCATCTGCGACGAATTCGACGTGCTCGGCAATCTTTACGTGCTTTGTGAGAAGCTGCAAGACAGGGCAGCAAAAAACTCCGCCGTCGAAAGTCTGCTCGAGGTTTCCATGGGAAAATACGAGAACAAGTATACCTGTCCACGAACCGATACCATCGTGCTCGTATACCGGGGAACATGCGCGGGCAGTCTCGGTCGTCGCCTTATGGTGGATCTGTGGCGCAAGATCTCTGTGGACTTTTTGATCAAGTGTAGTGATGAACTGCCCAAAGAGTTCCTTGCTGACCTTGCCATCTCCATGAAAACTCAACTGGAGGGGCACAAAATCAAGGGCACCTGGCCTCTGAACAAGAACACATGTATGGAAAAGGAGGCCTGAGATCTCAGCGACACGCTCGAGATCCATTAGCGACTTCAGGCAATGTTGGGACACCTTCGGAGAAACAGCATGAAGGGGTATGAGCATCGGTAGCGGTCTTGTAGCTACAGGTCTAAAGTCGGCTCCAACGTAACTTATGATGCATGTGCGCACATCCAAGTAGCACACTGTATCACGTACAACTACGAAGACAACCCCGATACACACGTTACAGTGACTCCTCTTTGTATTCACAGACCTGAGATAGCAACAGACCGAATGACATTAACAACTAACCCCCTCATCCAAACACCATAGAAAGTCCAAGTCTCATACATCGTAAATCGCAGACCCTCAAGCAACAGGATCCAACCACCGCTCAAGGCTTTTTCAATCGACACAAGCCGCCGAGAAAATATGCAAAGAACAACGACAACAACAAATTACCTCCTTGCAATCCATGTAAAAGGAAAGAAGGCACGATCCCCAAACCCCTAATGAATGAATAACGCCAAGAGCTAAATCATATGCATACGTGCCAGCTAATACTGGCTGTTCCAAAAGTGTATTATAATATTCCCGATGAAAAGGTGGATTCGTCGTCGTCAGAGGGAGGCTGCGGCCAGTGGTCGGGCTTGGGTATTGTGCTGCCGGCTTCGCCGTCGTTAGGTTTGCGACCCCATACTACGTAGCTAGTAGATGTTAGCATCCGCCTCGTCATATTGTGACATGTTCAACGTGCGACTTACAAGTTGTAATAGGCGTGCACACTCTCGTCTGCAAGCGAGTTCCTCACATGCGCGAGGTAGACTTCGACCTCTGCTGGTGTCCAGCCCAAACCGGTGACAAAATATTCAATAGTCCATCCGTGCAAACCGACGAGCATGTTCCACATGCAGAACTTGCCGTACATGTTGGACTTGTTTTCTTTCGGCCATGGATTCACGGGTAAAGCGAAGACCTCCTCGTGCACATCCACGAATCCAGCTTCTCGGTACCACCTCTTGAGTTTATCCGCGATGCGTAACGGCCGGCCCAGGATGTGCGCGGCTTCGTCTTGCAGATTCGACCATTCAAGCAGCGGGTAACTTTCCGGCATGCCTTCGGCACACTGGAGTTTGGAAAATATCTCCTGCGACTCCATCCATCCACCAGGTTTCAGATTGTTGAAGCCCTTTTGTATGATTTCTCGGAAATCGGTGAAGATGCCGTGCATGAAGCGTGTGTGGACGTAGTCGTAGGTATAGGGTTGCTTTTCGGGGAACCACCAAGATGTCTTGAGGATGTTGTCCAGCCAGAAGTCGACGTTGTTGGGCAGTCTGTCTTTCTTGGGTTGGATCGCGGATAGGTCGATGCCTTCAACCTGGTGTCTGGTTAGCGTGGCCATGAAGAGAGCATTGCATCGCCTACCCGCCAATGTTTTGGAGCCTTTTTTGCTGTTGCTTGTCAGTCGTGTTTCCACAAGGAGCTACAGACACAGCACATACCCATTGCGATGCACCATTGTCCGGTGCCACAGCCAATGTCCAGCATCCTCGACGATCTCTTTGTGTTCAGCGGCGCGAAGTAGTGTTTTCCTTGCAGAAGTCCTGTTATGATATGATGCTCCCATTCCAAGCGATATATCTCGAGCTGTGGGTATGCGAGTCAGCGAAAGGGCGATGGGCGAATATGGGTTCTAGCAGCGCGCACCTCGTCGTTGGGAAATGGGTAGGCTGGAATTAATTAGCTAGAGTCAGGCGAAAAGCCATTCGGTAGGTATGCGTACCTCCAGCATGAAAGCCGTGGTAAGTTCGGCCGTACTTCTTCTCGACGCCATACATGCTTGGCGTGAGGCTTTGCACCTCGCTGCGATGTGTAAGCACATGGAGTATACGAGAGGAGAGCAGGAGAGGTACAAGTCGTTGAGTTCTCCATCTGACGGTGCATCCGACTACATATCGCGATTAGTTTGGGGTCCATGGTACGTATGTAGTGGGGAGAGCAGGCGGCATACATCAGCTGGGTCGGCGGTCGAGTGTGTGAAGTCGGTGAGATTGGTGGCACTGGACAGCGGCCGCAGCTTGGTCTTGCGCACACGGTCAGTCGCAGAGGTGGCCATGATGTCTTGGGGATGCGCTACGGTGCGCTACAGGACTCGCCCCGAGTCGTGTCGAGGAAGAGGCGAAACCCAGCGGAATGGATAATGTCGTTCCCAAGGCCCTGGCCTTGGAGGGCGCGCCGACAGCGAAAGCGCCGACGGGAGCGCTAGGGGGCCAGTCAACCCCGCAGTCCTCGCAACCTCGACCGCCCTGTCTGCTGCCAGCTGTTGCAAAGACCCACAGCCACGACCAACGTGTCGAATGACACCGACAGCTTTACGCCTCATCCTGCCAGTACCGAGTGCGTGGCTTTGGACATGCGTCACTCCTTCCGAGAGATTGGGCCACCAGCTCACCGACCATCCCCCGGGTGCACACCATCAACACGCCCGTCAATGTCTCAATGCCACCATTGTTGTCTTCTTCCTTTGCTTCTCGGGCGCTAACACGACTTAAGCCCCGGCTCCTGATCCAGTTCTGGGAATGAGACCTGATCTGCCTTGCTCTGCTGTGTGTTTGAGGCACAGTTCTCTAGCGTACACAAAGGACTTTCCCAAACGGCTTCCAACCTGCGGCTATCGGAATTCCAAATGCTTCCCTGCCATTGTCTCTATTATGGTTTTCGTCTTCGTCTGGTTCAGCCACTCGTAGCTCGGCGTTTCCGGCGCCTTGGCCGCGTGAGCTGCATTGGAAGGAATGCGTCGGGCGCATCAACCAATGTATCGGATCCGGGGAAGGCCGTGTCAAATCATGCCATTCTGACCAAACTGGCGGTTTACCTGCCACTGCGGCCTGGACCGTTGGACCGTTGGGGAGAAACGTTCGCAAAGCTGACAGAATCCGTGCCGAGCCTCACTAGTATCCCAGCGATGTATGTGCAAGGTCTGGCTGTTGAGTAGTGCATCATGTCGGGATACTTGCTGCAAGGAGAAATCGCCGAGGTATTGGAACTCTGCCACCTTCACAAGAGAGGCCTGGTCAGCATGCAATGCAATCACCAAGTCTGTTGGAGTCGCAGATAGGCGTGGTGGTGAATACAAGAATCAGTAAGGAGACGACCGCTTTCGTACGACCACTCAAACCGTAATGCGCACGTTGTGGGGATGCGTAGTATGTGGCAGTCGTTGCGGGCTTGGAAAGCATTCTGCCTAGCATCATCCAACGGCGTCCCCTGCTATGCCATACACCGTTCAGCGACCATGCATCAAAGCGATGAGCTGTCATGCATGTGCATCTTGAACAAGTAGGCCAGGCATGATGGCCTGTGGTGTAGGGTCGTAAGTAGCGCGCTTGGCGGAGATGCTAAGAGCTTTCTATCAGACGTGGGCAATGTGGCTTGTGTATTTCGAGTAAGAGTGACGGAACGCCAGTGCTTCACGTCACTTCTAAGTTGCTTACCGGTGGCTCTCGCGATTTTCGTGAGCATCTCTAAGGAAAGGAACTCATTCGCGGGGGAAGGGAGGTAGACCTGTGTTGTAGCAGGTGAGCGAATGTGATTGCTGCCTGAAGAGCTTGCCTGGGCTGTCGCTCTTATCCTGCAAGGCGAAGGCGAAGAGGGCTCTTTCCACTCTCAAAATGGGGAATTTGCGTGGGCTGAGACGCAACTGCCTTAGTATGATCTCTTTTCACGCTGTGGTATCCCAGGCAAATCAAGAGGCTGTCAATATGGCAGATCGAACGCTGGCCAACACCGCAGCGGCGACAATCATCTAATAGATCTCTCACCTACCTTTGGTACCTTGAAGTTCACCTTTACCCGTCCCCGTGCTATTACTTTCTACGATAGCCTCACTACCAGTAAAGTGACACTTAGCGGATCATGTTAGTCCAGTATATATTATGTATGATGACGAACCAACGACCTTGACACCTACATGACTCTCGAGAGTACAAGGATACAAATCAACAGTTCAACGAATTCAGCAAACGGGATATCACGATGACGGTGTCAAGAACTCGGGGTGCAGCACGCAAACCCGCACGCAAAACCATACGGTAAGATCAACGCAGAACATGTCGTGTTCCCCATTGATTTGCGTTATAGTTTCGGCCACAAGCTTGTTAATGTTGTCTTCGGCCCCAAAAAGACCGTCTTTGCAGTTCATGAGGACCTACTCTGCTCAAGTTCGAAGTACTTTAAGAGGAAGTTCCAAAAGTCTCGCAGAGCCATTGAAGGCGACTGTTCCGTCTGTACAGAGGAAGTCGCAAATTTAGCTGCAGTTTCATACTGCAATGCATGTGGTCAAAACTTCCACCAAGCGTGTATCAACGACTGGCTGGATCGAGAAAGAACGTGTCCTTTATGCCGTCTGGAATGGTCACTACCACGAAATCAGAGCAACGACACAGTACATATCGTCATAGGGTGCGCCTGGGACGGTGCCAACTTCGACCGATACATGCAGTGGCTTTATACCGATACTCTCCCTGACAACGGAGCCCGCCTGACCGAACTGTTCACGGCCCACATTCTTGCATGCAGATTGAAGGATCCACGTTACATGATAGCCTCTCGTCGGGGCATCATCGATTTCGTTTCAACTCCTGAGGCGACAGTCACTCACTCAGATATGGAATTTCTGTATCGCGATGTTTCAATGGCTTCACCACTACGCACATTCTTTCTCGATCTATGCATCGCCAACCCAAGTCTGGTAAAGGTGGTTCCGGGATTGCCCTAACAGTTCCTTCTTGATCTAACAGAGAAGTTGCTATCAAGCCGACCGGTTGAAGGAAGGACCCTATATCAGGCTCTGGCTAGGCACCTGTCAGACGACGAGGAAGGACAGGGGAACTCAGACTAAGAGATCTATGGTCACCCGGTCATGAAAAGACTATCTGTGGGACGGGGAACACGGTGAAAAGGAGAGAAGCATGGTTGGAAAGTACATGAATATTCGAAAAGGCTGCTGCATATACAGGATGATGCATAGGGGGGTTTGCAAGATGACGAGTTTCCAGTTCGGACGACACCAAAAGCACGAGACAGAAGCTGTAGAACAAAAGAAATGCAAATCACATTGCGCGAAGATGGTCTTCCCACCTATGCCCCGCTTCTAATGTACAGGTACTCGTGCCACGGAAAGCTTTTGAGGAGGTATTATTTACCGGCCCTTCTTGACCCAGCCTTCAAGATTCTCACGTGTATCAGCCAGCTTCCCCTCGACCATACCAACAGTTCCCTGCGCATGTGCCTTTCCAGTCTCGATGAATTGCGAGATCCTGTTCTTCATCCGCAGGTGGGTATCCGCAAGTACGGGGTATTTCTCTTCGTAGGTCCAGATGAGGTCTCCGACGTTCTTGGTGGTGATGGGAAGCACGAACTTCGCAGCGGTGATGCCGACAGCGACGGGGACGGAGGTTCGAAGGAGGATGTTGCGGTTGCGCGTGATGATGGAACCGGCCATGGAGGAGACAAGGACGTAGAGTGCGCCTGGGAGGACCTTCTCGCCGGATTCCCTGGGTGGGGCTAATGAGCGGATGGTGCTTGTGAAGGAGTGCTCGAGACGGAGCGTCTCGGTGAGCGCGTTGTCGACGGCCTTCTCGCCGCGGACAGCCTGCTCGTACAGAGCCATGCGCGCACGGCCGATCTGGACTGCGAGGCGGTCGGTTGGTGTCGGTCGGTAGCTAGACTCTGGTGATAAAGAGTTCGATGGTTCTGTTAGGGCGGGAGCGGTAGGCGCTGTGGTATCGACGGGCATATCATCGTAGATAGGTTTGCGGTTCTACTTTGGCGTTAGTATTACGATTAATAGGGGGAATAGATTGCCCGAAAAAGCTTCGTCGAGCATTTGAGGGCATTCTAACGTACAAAGTGGTCGGCAGGTCGCTCCTCTGCGTATACGGTCCGGGGTGCGAAGATTGCTGCGGTGGAGAGGGCGGCCATGGCGGGGACAGCGGCGCGCTATGCGATGTTAATACACAGTCCATCATCTCTTGCGGGCTACTCACCTGCCGTAACAGCGGTCTGAAAGCCATGTCGAGCGTGGGGCAGGCGCAATGGGTTGAGTCTGGTAATGTCCAACTGGTGATGTTGAGCTCAGAAGACGCGGAAACGGCCGTGCGAGCGCCGCAAGATTCCCGCCCGTCCTCGGCTTAGCTATGACATCGTTCGTCTCGTCCGACTTCTGCCAGCCCACCCTTCACCCGTGCAACCCAATATGCTCAAGCGCCTCGCTCGCACAAAGCAGTCGCCATGGGTCTGCCAACAATGCCTGCGCTCCTCCCAACGCCAACGACGCTTCAACTCCACCCTCGCCGCCGCCGCCAAAGCACGCGACACTGCGCCGCCCAGTGCTCTCTACGGCCTGTCGACCAGCGGCAAGACAGATGACGACGCCCTGCGCAAAGTGTTCGACAACGCATCTTTCTGGAATGACTTCAAGCGCGCATCGCAAAAGGGAAAACCCACGGGAATAATAGGGAACCAATACCTCACCCACCCGCAGGGCTTCGTCGACTTCGTTACCGTAACAATACAACGCTGCAATGCCGTGGTGCAGAAAGTAGCGGCAGCGCAGTCGACGGAGGACTTCAAGCACATGGTCAAAGAGTTGGACAAGCTCAGCGATCTACTATGTCGGGTGATAGATTTGGCCGACTTTGTAAGAGGCACGCATCCGGATCGCAAGTTCCAGATGATGGCGATGAAGGCCTACCAGACGGTGTTCCAGTACATGAACCAGCTGAACACCACGCCGGTACTGCACGACCAGTTGAAGAAGGCGTCGGAGATATCCGAGGTGTACGACACATGGAGCGAGGAGGAGCGCATTGTTGCGCGGATATTGATGGAGGATTTCTCAAGATTTGGCATCGGACTAGACGACAAGACAAGGGAGCGGCTGGTAGATCTGAGCGGCGAGATTGCAGACGTAGGGAACGAGTTTGTGGAAGGCATGGCGCCAGAGAAACGGGACTTGAGGTTCAAGTCGTCGAAGCTGAGAGGGCTGGATCCAAACCTCGCGAAGGCGCTGACGAAATGGGGTGAGACCAAGATCTCTACCATGCATTCCGAATCGCAAGCGGTTTTACGATTCGTAGACGACGCAGATGTACGGCAAGAGACGTACCAAGCTGTCCGAACAGCCAATAAACCAAGCATCGCGCGACTAGAAAAGCTGTTGAAACTGCGTGTGGAATTGGCCCAAACCTCAGGCTACGAGACATTCGCGCACATGACGCTGGAGAATAAGATGGCACGAACACCGGAAGCGGTCAACACATTTCTCAAGGCACTGTATGAGGACAGCCGGCCGGCTGTTCTCGCTGATCTAGAAGAGTTGATGGAGTTGAAGAGAGGCGACGCCCACCAGGACAACTTCCCCGATCGCATCAACGCCTGGGACAAATTCTATTACACACAGAAGATGCTAGCCTCTATGGAGAGCCACTACAGGCAGCGAACGCCTGACTCTTTGTCTGCATATTTTTCCGTTGGTACTGTACTACAGGGTATATCGCGACTCTTCGACCGTCTCTACGGTGTCCGATTCGTACCCAAAGAGACCCAACCAGGGGAAGTATGGGATGATGGTGTCCGCCGGTTAGACGTCATCTCAGACACCGAAGGTCACATCGCAGTGCTCTACTGCGACTTGTACTCACGGCCCGGCAAGACTCCCAATCCAGCGCACTTCACCCTCCGATGTAGCCGCGAAATTCTCCCTTCCGAGATGGAAGAGATGGCCCACATGCCGCACCGCTTCTCCTCTCCCATCGAAGCCGCCACAGACGGCATGCCCGTATCCTACAACGCCGAACGAAACAGCTACTTCCAAGTGCCCACGATAGCACTCATCTGCGATTTTAGCAAAGCCTCTCACTCACGCCCCACCCTCCTCAACATCCACGACGTGCGCACACTCTTCCACGAAATGGGCCACGCACTCCACTCCATCCTCGGTCGCACCGCCCTACAAAACGTCTCCGGCACTCGCTGCGCAACCGACATTGCCGAGCTACCCTCGGTGCTGATGGAACATTTCGCCTTCTGCCCCCACGTCCTAGGCCTCTATGCCCGCCACTGGGAAACCGATGCGCCGGTCCCCATGGCCGCGGTCGAAGCTCGACTCGCCATAGATAACCGGAACCAGTACTCTGAACTTGAAAGCCAAATCTTGCTCTGCATGCTCGACCAAGTGTACCATTCCCCCATTGCCGCGGATCCCAATTTCAATTCTACGAAAGTGTACCACGACGTTTACAATAAATACGCTTCTGTTCCTGAGCCTGCTGGCACGGCTTGGCAAGGGTTCTTTGGCCATTTGTTTGGATACGGGGCTACGTATTATTCTTACCTCTTTGACCGTGCGCTAGCGGCGAAGATATGGAAAGACGTGTTTCAGCATAATGGCCAGGAAGGTAGTTTGGATAGGGAGAATGGTGAGCTTTATAAGAATGAGGTGCTTAAGTGGGGTGGAGGTAGGGATGGATGGCAGTGCTTGGCTGGTGTTCTCAAGGATGAGAGGTTAGCTAAGGGAGGCGAGGAGGCTATGGCCGAGGTGGGGAAATGGGGGATTAGGGAGGCGAGGGGGAAATGAAGTGGTGATCGAGGTCATGATTTATATACGTTTAATGTTGCGGCGCTTGTATATAGGATGGTTAGATGGTTAGACGGTAGACGATACGTTTGAACGCGCATGCATTTATATCATAGACATGGACTTCTCAGATCAAGCAGAAAGCCTGCAGTATCATCTATCACTTTTGAACAATGCGGATTTGGAATGCTACTTCGTACACCTCCTACATACACCTCTCTCCAAAACCTCACAAAGCAAATACCCTCATCACGCAGGTACCCTCCTACCCGCCCATCCCCCTCCCCCGATCCATGACCCCCGCCTTAATCCTCTCCACAACTTCCCTACCCAACCATCTCAGTTTCCCATTTTGCCGACACGCCGCATCCGCCCACTCAAACACGCCCTTCAACTCCCTCAGCTCCTCAACCTTCCAGCTCTTCGCCAGTCTACCCAGCACCAACCTCGATTCGACAACTGTAGCTCCTGGATCCAACCAGCTCTTGCTGTGTTGATCGAGTGGCAGTATGAGTCCTGCGTCGCTGGCAGAGATGAACTGCGATAGCGCGGGAAGGGTGAAGATCCAGTGGAAGAGAAGGTTCGCAGTCTTTGATGATTGGGCGTCGTTGAGGGCGACGAGAGTAGAACTAAACGTCGTGGAGTACGTATCATGGGCAGATCGACGGCGAACGTTTAGTGTCTGGTTGCGCTCGAAAGATTTGAGATGGAGTGGATTGTGTACAAAGTCTAAGGTCGTGGGCCAGTATGTCTGATCTGCTGTTTCGAGGCGGCTGATGAGATGGATTTCCGGGAGGAGACAGGGCGCTACTAATGTCTTTGTTTGTGGCTCCTCGTTCCCTTCTTGATTGTTCTTGAAGATGACGTTGATGGGCATGGATATGGCGCGTCCTGTGTCTACGTCTCGCACAACAAGACACCTGGGCTCGGCGGCTAGTACCCAGAAGTGACGGAACGCCTGGAGATGGGCCCGCGAGTCTTGTACGTCGGAGGGAAACAGGGGGTAGAATGCGCAGATCAGACTGGCAATGGCTTTGTTGCTGCGACTGAAGGTCTGAGTACCACCCGCGATGAACAGAGTGCCAAAGGCCATATGAGCTGCGAGATGAGAGCCGTAGGGAATGTCCGGACCAATGCGGCCGTGGAGACCGCGCAAGCGACGGAAGACGTCGAGATCACCAGTTCCTGCCATGACAGTTGCGGCGGCCAAAGCGATGAGATCTTGACAGTTCCGGACTGTGTTCTTGGAAAGCTTGGAATCATAGCGTACAGCGGGAAGTTTGTTGATACGTATCAGTTGATCCAGGTACTTGATCAAAAAGTCGCGGACCTGGATATCCCCCGTACCGGCGTGCTTGAGACTTACGGCCCAAAGCAGACCTGCGATGATGTTGTAGAAGGGCATTTGCTCGCTACGGAGTCGTGTAATGCCTTTGAGGTCCCAGGCTTCGCGATAATCGTACGGCAGATTCTTGATGATCCAGGAGTCCGAAGCTTCGATGGTATCCCACATGATGAGATGTTTTGCGAGGGTGCGGAGGAGAAAAATGTCTGGGCGAACGTAGTCGAACTGGGGCAGCGTATCCGGGATATCTATCTTACGCGCGACGGTCTGGTCGTGGGTCTTCATGAAGACGAGGGCAACGGCGATGACCGCTCCAGCTGTGGCTTGATCGAGGATGTGAACAACGTTGACGGGCTTAGGCGCTACAGCGACTGTCATGAGACGCTCAACTATACGCATATCGTGGAGACCCCTAAGATCTTTGCCCTTGCCCAGGTTGATGAAGCCGAGTGCAAAGCCCGCAGCCAGCCTGTAAGCTTCATCCCGCAAACTATCTGGTGGTTCTGATGGATCTGGAATCTCAACAAACTCGATCTCTGAAAGCATCACCTCGCTCATGCGACGGTGCTGTGTGTTGTAGTAGAGTAAACCAATGCCCATCAGTCCCGTGGTCTGGGTGTAGGGAGAGAGGTTTAGCTCGGCTGCCCCTTGTGGGAGCATTCTTGTGACATGCACTGACAGCAGTCTTGTAACCAGCGTATCCATGGTACCCATGAATGAGGCGGCTAAACCCAACAATAAGCCGACCGAAGTCATGGTATGCTTTGGAGTAAGGTACTTGAATGACAACCACTTCGCAATCGTTCTCAGATGACCATTCAGGCCAAGGCCAAGCAACAGTCCAGCATGCTTGTTCGTCAACTCTGAAGGTTTGTTGTACATGATCCATGACGTGTCGATGCCCTGGGCGTCGCGCGATATGCTGAGACCAGCTGCAGCACCAGCGTTAAAGAATGCCCAAAAGTACTTCTCCTCGGAATAATTTTGCCGTTCTGCAGTGACAACGTTACCCATTGGCTTCATGAGACATGATGTGGAGAAGCCGTATAGCGGGTATTTTTCTGTCAGCAGAGGTTTCTTGCTGCTGAACT